ATATATATATATATATATATATATATATATATATGCATGCAATAGTGTGTTTATGTATCTCTCTGTCAGTGAATTTTACGTTTATAATCAGTGCTCCTGACTGATATCATATTTCTTCAATAAAGCTTCATTTAATTTTTGACATAATGATACACAGTAGAATCACTGACAAGCGGACTAAGAAGATATTCTGGATATGAGGAACTGGTTACAAAATCCGGATATGAGGAGTTATATTTAGATTAAAATAAAAGAACTGAAATCAGGTTTAACATTTATTTTCGTTGTTTTAGAGTAAAAAAAATAAGCTAATGGTAAGTGGAATATAACGGACTTGATCTTAAGGAAAAAGAAATAAATTATGTAATGTTAATGAAAATTCATTAAATTAAGTATGCCACGTATGCCAAACAAATAATGGAACGAGGCTGTTGCATGATGATTCCTTCTCTTCTATTGTCATTCTCAATTTTTCCACATTTCGTTTTGCTTTTGTTCTTGAAATTTTTTAAGCGAAAGACACTTTTTAACTCTGCACACGTTATTGCAATCGTCATAGCTGAATGATAGCTTTCTTTCCATAAAACTGACAACCTTTTCAATATTCTTTTTTTTTTTCACTTTCAGTCCCGGTTTCATCACGGTAATCTTTTTTATTTCTTTGATCATTTTGACAGTGTGAACACTGGAGAATAGTTTCTTTGGAAGATTTTATATCATAAAATGTTGAACTCATTAGTTACAATGAAGTTTATGAACTTTCACCAACGCCCAGTCTGTTTAAAATGTCTACACATTGCGATAATAACTCCAAGCGTTCTTCTTTTCCTCTTATTTCCATCATCGTTTGAACCAATACAAGCCATGAGGGTGAAATAAATTTCCCGAAAAACAGAAATTTCAATTCAGTTATATATCACCCAAATAGTTCAAATATACACATCAAAATTATGTCTGGATATGCGGAATTCTACTATATATATATATATATATATATATATATATATATATATATATATATATATATATATATATATATATATATATATATATAACATCCACAGACAGACTGTTTCGCTGTTTCACAGCTCACCAGTGTGGCTAGACATCCGGTTGCCTCTAGCTAGGATCGAAACCCGACTGAATTGGTGTCAGTCGGAGATTCTAACCGTCGGCGCACGGTAGTGGACTTTTAGCGTATTTATTTTTAGAAACACGCCCAGTGACCGACAGTGACTAAAGTCCGACAATTATTTTAAGATATATTTATGTTTATACATTCTTTTTATAGATACAAATATTTAAGTAAATGCTCTGTTTATAATACATTTCTCGGACATTCAGGCCAGTAAATGTCGTTTAATACTGTTTATTATATATATATATATATATATATATATATATATATATATATATATGAAGAAAATACGTGGTGTAATAGTTTATTATAGCATCTGACTGAATTATTAAAGGCAATGAATTCACTAATTAGCATTGTTCTGTATCACGTCAGTTTCAAATTTATCAAATGACTGATGACAGATCAGTATTTCTGGATGGAGCCTTGTCATGAAAGTTGCTATTTGTCTTTTAATTCACGCTATGAATTATCAACTAAACTGAAATCTGGACAGTTCTTTGGTCATCTCATCTTATTGTGATATTCATTTCCAGCGTCAAGGTGGATTATCTTCTTAATATCTTTATGAAACGAATATTTTATGAAACCAATATTTTATTGATAAAATGAGAAAAGTGTTTGCAATTTCTACGTACAGCAACGAATTTACTAACACAATCAATCAACAGCGGTACGCCCTTTTACAAACATTGCAAAACAAACGCAAATTTAAAAAAATTACATTCATAGAAACATGGAGCAAAGAACTCTATTCGACTCTCTCTTTTTTTTTCTCGAGAAAGTAAAAGTGATATCCGACATAAAAATCTACCTATTTTTCTATACTTAATAAAGCGAAAAATACCAAGGTGTTTATGTTATAATATTTTATAGCATTCGAGCCATGTAACCAAACTTATCATCTGAATCTTGATGAATAGAGAGCACAGTAGAATCAGACCAGAAATAGGACAAGAACAGTGCGGGTTCGTTAAAGACACTGGAACAAGGAATGTAATATTTATACTCAGAATGATAGCAGAAAGATAAATAAATATGCAAAAGGTTATATACTTATATTTTATAGAATACAAAAGTCTTTCTTAAAATAAGCCACAAAGAACTGAACCTTAACATGTGTAGGAAGGATATTAAAAGGATATGTAGGAAGGGTATTAAAATAATTCGGAATTAATTCTGTCAGCACCCCGCAATGAGAAAATGCGTTCATAAATAGACAAAAATAAAAAATAAGGTTTAAAACAAGGATGCGTGTTTTCCCCAGACATTTTCAACTTGTACAACAAGACAGTAGAAGTCATAATATCTGAGAATGGAGCTTACATATTCATTTGTTACTTAACAAGACAGAATGTTTGCGTGATAATCTTTTTTTATAGCATTAGGATGTCTCACAATGAAATGTAGATATTCACTCGCTGCGTAATAAAACGGAATAGGAAGACGTCTTTGTGGTGTAATATTTATCAGTTATTATGATAATAGTTGACAATAAATTCAATACATACATTGAGAAAAGACAAGGTGATTGAAAAGTAACTCTCTATTCTATGTATGAGTGACTAGTCAGAAGTCCTTACTTAAAACCCTCTGAATTTTTGGTTGGGGTTGTCTACTAACACCAAACCAAGGCTTTGGAAGAATTTGAAGGGCGAATACAAGAAGTTATGTCTTATATACTACAAGATTTCCTGGTGAAATTAGTTGACACAATTCCTGGATATATATATATATATATATATATATATATATATATATATATATATATATATTTAAAACAACATGTCTGACCGCATATACAATTCAGGAAAATCCTTGTTGAAAACACAACTATATTTAAATATGAAAACAATAAACAAAAACTAAAAATTCTTGAAGCTATATACATAAAACAGTTGAAACCTAACCTGAAGAAATTAAATTATGAAACCTCCACAAATATTCTTAAATGCCTATAATTGGTAACAGAAGCCATTGGTTTATACCAATGGCTTCCCATACTTAATACTTCGCGTGTTAAGTCCCGTGTGGTCATGGGTGACGTCATAAGCTGCGGTGTGATTTTCGCTTCCAGCATCTTATATGCACGAGTTTGTCGTTGCTTGGAAATCTTCTATGTAAACAAAAACAGTCTATCTTCACTGATTTGTCCGTGTATTGCTTAATATATTGTAATGTAATTGTCATCTTTGATAATGGCTCTTATAAGCCGAAAGCTTAGATAGGATTTAAAATATGTATCAATATTGTGATTTTCTTTAAAAGAGTTTACATAAAATAAATATAGAGAACTTGACTATATTATTTAATGAAACATGCATCAGTGAAAAAATTCTGACTAAATAAATACACACACACACACACTATATATATATATATATATATATATATATATATATATATATTATAGTTATGAAGAACTTGTTAATCCGTATGGGTAATCCCAAGAAGGATGAAATCCTGAGAGCTCAATGTAAAACCAGAGCTAATATTTAAAAAGAAAAACAGACCACTTTAAGGTACCATTTCAATAACCATTCGTTGTTGGAAGTGCTATCTGATGATCCGGCGTCCTTTTAAAAGGACTCTGCTGAAATAAATTATAGTAATGGTACCTTAAAGTGATCTGTTTTTTTTTTTATATATATATATATATATATATATATATATATATATATATATATATATATCCTTCCAAAATAAAACATGCTTGCATAGTATTTCAAATACATACATATATATATATATATATATATATATATATATATATATATATATATATATATATAGGTGGTCCGAAAGTAGGTGTACACTGTTTATGTAACGGTTATATTATTATAACTGAGTATCTTGATGAAATATTTCCTGAGAAATGAATTGGCCGATGAGGTTCAATTGATTGGCCGGCACGTGTTCACCAGACTTGACCCCAATGGATTTCTTCTTTTGGGGAGTACTCAAGGACAAAGTTTATAGTCAAAAACCAAGAAGTATCGGTGATTTGAAAAAGTACATAAGAAATACATTTCAAGAAATTCATATCCCAAAAGTTTTTCGAAGCGTTAAAGGTAGACTTCAAAGCTGTGTTAATTGTGATCTAAATAGTTTGAATACCTGCGTCGATAAAAATTAAGGGCTTTTATATTATTGTTAACAATAAAATTTAATTGTCAATGTAATAATTGTGTTAGTAAATATAATTGTATGTATATGCAATCTCAAAATAAATGTAAGTATTTACTGTTTACCTACATTGGACCACCCTGTATATATATATATATATATATATATATACCGCTGACAAGTTTGTAGGTAGATATCAACAATAAACTATTAAAACGTTTAACAATAAAATCTAGAACAGTGTTTCATAACATCTTATCCTTTGTATCTCATTTTTGCTATCCTCCCAAAATATTTCCATCCAGCATAGGCGGATATATAGGCCTAGATATATATGAAGTATTTATATAGCTAGATATCGAAAGGAGTAAAAAATTAGAAATGAAGACGCTTAGATGGACAGATCTGACTCTTAGATAACTGAAAAGTGGCTTATATGGATAGATATAGTGAGGCTTAGAAAAATAGATATGTGTAGGTTTACATAGATAGACAGATATGGTGAGATATAGATATGTGTAGACTTAGATAGATAGATAGATAGATAGATAGATAGATAGATAGATAGATAGATATGGTGAGACATAGATATGTGTAGACTTAGATAGATAGATAGATAGATAGATAGATAGATATGGTGAGACATATATATGTGTAGACTTAGATAGATAGATAGATAGATAGATAGATAGATAGATAGATAGATAGATATGGTGAGACATAGATATGTGTAGACTTAGATAGATAGATAGATAGATAGATAGATAGATAGATATGGTGAGACATAGATATGTGTAGGCTCAGATAGATAGATAGATAGATAGATAGATAGATAGATAGATAGATATGGTGAGACATAGATATGTGTAGGCTTAAATAGATAGATAGATAGATAGATATGTTGAGATATTGATATGTGTAGGTTTAGATAGATAGATAGATAGATAGATAGATAGATAGATAGATAGATAGATAGATAGATATGGTGAGACATAGATATGTGTAGGCTTAGATAGATAGATAGATAGATAGATAGATGTATTGAGACATAGATATGTGTAGGTTTAGATGGATAGATAGATAGATAGATAGATAGATAGATAGATGTATTGAGACATAGATATGTGAAGGCTTAGATAGATAGATAGATAGATAGATAGATAGATAGATAGATAGATAGATAGATATGGTGAGACATAGATAGGTAGATATGTGTAGGCTTAGATAGATAGATAGATAGATAGATAGATAGATATGGTGAGACATAGATAGGTAGTTATCCAATGTCTTAGAAAGATATTTATGAAATAAGAAGTGGATTAGATAGATAGATATCGAAAGACTTATACAGATAAGAATTGTATATATATATATATATATATATATATATATATATATATATATATATATATATATAGAGAGAGAGAGAGAGAGAGAGAGAGAGAGAGAGACAGACAGACAGACAGACAGATAGATAGATAGATAGATAGATAGATAGATAGATATGGAAATACTTAATTATATAGATATGGAGAGGCTTAGATATAAAGGTATTAAGTGACTAAGATCGATATATATGGAGAATCTTAGATAAATATCGATACACTTAGCGAAACACTTAGATAGATAGATAGATAGATAGATAGATAGATAGATAGATAGATAGATAGATAGGGAGTGGGTTAGATAGATATCGATAGGCTTAGTTATATAGATATAAAGAGGCATATATATATATAGAGAGAGAGAGAGTGAGGCTTACATAGATAGATAGATAGATAGATAGATAGATAGATAGATAGATAGATAGATAGATAGATAGATATGGTGCGGCTTAGATATATAGATATGGAGATGTTTAGATAGATAGAGACAGATGAGGAAGCGTAAATGTATTAATATGGAGTCACTTAAATATCGAGAGGTTTAGATAGATATATCGATAGATAGTTACATAGAGAGATACGAAGAATCTTATATAGATAGATATGGAGAGGCTTACATAGATATAGAGGGTCTTGGATAGATATGAAAGGAATTATATATCCAGAGGCGTAACATAGATAGATAGATAGATAGATAGATAGATAGATAGATAGATACTAACTCTTTTTCCGCATAAATTTTCTTTCAATATATCATTACTCATAAGTCCAATAAAAATGATTACAATGAAACAATATTGATTAATCTTACTGTACAAACTGGGCAAAAGAACCATTTTTCCATCGAATCATTACATGCCATGAAAAATGGATACCCTTTGACAACAGTAAGAGAGTGTATCACCAAAACAATACCCAAAACCTCCACTACACCCTAAAAAGTTAATACTTACTGTATGGTGGTCTCTCAAAGGGGTTATTCATTATTCATTCTTGCCTCAAGGAAAAACAGTGACAGCAAATTCGTATTGTGGAGAAATTGAGTGTATGCACGAAAAATTGAAAACGAAACATCCTTGACTTGTGCATATGGGTGCCTCAACTTTGCTGCACGAAAACGCACGGCTGCACGCTTCCCAAAAGCTGCATATCCTGCATTATGAAATTTTGCTTCATCCTCCATATTCACCTGATCTCTCTCCTACTGATTATCACTTATTTAAGCATTTTGAGTTTTTCATACGCAATAAAACATTCTTCAATAAGGAAGAGGTAATGGAAGTATTTGGATTTTTTATCACATCAAAAGATGAGACATTTTTTTAAAGATGTGATCACAGAATTTAGTCATACGTTGGATAACAGTAATTCATCAATATGCTGTATATTTCAACCAAATAAATTAGTTAACATTTCAGAAGCGTTTTATTCATTTCCTATAATGTGTGTCATTTCATATGAGTCAACCTAATAAAATGTAATCTATTTTAACAAATACTTTATTATTCTCTTATCAAATTCGTGCAAGAAGCTGCGACATCTGATTTTTGTTAAATATAGAGAAATATTTATCTATTATCGTTATCATTCCATTATAATATTTGACAATGAAGTCTAGATATTCATTTGATTTGCAATAAAATAAATATGCAAACAGGTTTTTGGTGGCAGATTTAAAATGTGTTATTAGATTTAACAATGACACCCAGACATTCATTTGAAATATGTTTTCTCTATTCTTTATTGTTCTGTCATCAATTTTAAAAAAAAAAAACAAGGTATATTTCCTTTAAGGAAAAGACAGAAAAATGAATGAAAATTTTTTATCTCTGCCGATTTAAAATCATGGCTATCGATCTTTCATCAACAATGAAACAACTTCAAACAATATATTTCGATTCGCCTTTGCGTCAGTGTAAAAAAAAAAGAAAAGAAGGAAAACGTCCAGTTCAAGAGAAGATGAAATAACGCCATAGAAAAAAATAGATTCTGTTTACAATACATAGCGGTCTTTATTCACTGGAAGAGTCTCAAATTGAATCTAGCAATCACTCTGGGGGTATGTATATGGCACTTAGGTAACTTCACTTCGGTTTGTCTTGCTTCCGCTGAGTGGTTTCGGTCAGCGTGACTGGTTAGACGGTAAACTCTTCTCGTTGCTCATCCTAATATTAACTCTGACTGCTATCTATCTGGAATGCGACCTGACTATATAAGCTCACTACCGGAAATCCTTAACTTCCAGCCGAGTTGCACTTGATACCGAAAATATTTACTCTTTCCGTTTTCTCTACTTGTGAACAGTAGGTGAATGCTTTGGCTGTATTTGCCGTTATAAGCCACCGAAACCTCAGATATTTTACTTTGTAGATGTCCTAAGCCTAGTAATTGATCCAAACATTGAGGCACATCAAGAATCTTGTAAACAATAAGGGTCCTAGAGACATTATACATATTGAAGCTATGTTTCTTTAAGCTTGTTTTGAATATCAGAGTTTTTTTTTTTATTTAACCTATAGCTGGAGTGGAGTAAATCAATGAACTCCTACCTTTCAATCTGTTATCGTATGAAAGTGGACGCAACGAAACCGACCGGAATTCGAACTCGACTCCCTGATTTTTATATCCACGTCGCTGTTACATTAGGAGTGCCAACTGTAAAGTTCATACATTTGATCAAGATACTCTCATGGAATATGACCGAATGAGATTTAGTTTTCAGCATAGCCTACCTTCTGTGTTACACACATCTCCCATCGTTGTTGCAGAAGTGTTTTATACTGTTGGTCAAAACAGTAATCAACAACAGATATGACATCATCATCTCTGAGTTACTGTTTCCCAGCCAAGTATTTTTCATGATAATCAGATTGGTCCAAAACAGGAAAATAAGGAAATTGACCAACCAGTTCAAAGCCATAGACACTTCGAGCAACCACTGAAACCAAAGGATTTGTGTACTGGCGTATTGTCCTAATTAAAAATGAACACCTTTTGTCAGTTTTCCTAGGTGTTTGGTTTTGACAGTCTTTCGTAACTGCCTCAACAAGTTAGAATAGTTTTCTCCATTGATGGTGTAGCCATTTTGAAAATAACCAATAAACACTATGCCTTTTGCATCTCCCAAAAACGGTGCTATCACCTTCCCTGCAAATGAAACTGCTTCGGTCTTTTTCGGGATTTGAAGAGGAAGTTTCTATTTTATGAACTGTTTCTTTGTCTCTGGCTCAGAGCGATGAACCGAGCACACATCCTCGATTAAGAAGCATCCAAGAAAACAACCTGGAACTGCATCAAACAATGACAGATTTTTACGTGATGTGATCAGACTGAGACGCAATTGACCAGGTATCAGATATGCCATCGACCAATAGAAACTTCCGTTCTACCAAGTTCACTTTGCTGAATATTGTCAACACTCTCAGGGGATATACTAATAGCATTGACTATTTGATTTATAGCGAAAATGATGAGACAAAATGAAAATTATTTTTTTTATCAAAGATGCGTTTTGAGGGAGAAAGTTCATGCTCTCTTTGGCATCATCAGTTTGACTGAAAGAAAGACTAATCTGTGTGTTAGGAAAATATCTTGGGATCTCTGAGGATAAGTTGGTATCGTAAATCCCATTAATTAATTTAGTTTATTAATTTGTGACTCGAGAACTGAAGAAAGACTACTTTTTTTTATCTGTATTAGAACCGTATTTATCTGTATTGTAGGATCATAATTCAAGGACTTTTATTTTTTGTATTGACATGTATACCGTCACGCACGCGCACACACACACACACGGATTTCTTACCTGTACTATATATATATATATATATATATATATATATATATATATATATATATGTATATTTAGCCAGCAATTTTTCATTGATGCATGTTTCATTAAATAATATAGACAAGTCTTGTCTATTTATTTTAAGCCCCTCATTTTCACTCTCACGTAGTCGTGTGTGACGTCACGAGCTGCGATGCGATTTTCTCTTCCGCGTCTCGTATACACGAGTTTGAAGTTGCTTTGAAATTTTCACACAACAAAAACAGACTATCATTATTGTTTCGTTCGTGTATTGTTTGATATATTGAAATGTAATTATCATCTGTTATAATGGCTTAGTTATGTACGCCGAAAGCTTAGATTGGATTTAAACATGTATCAATATGGCGATTTCCTTTCTTCGTTCAATGATAATGTTATTAAACTTATCAGACAATATGAAAGGAAGTCACTTAAAATAAATAGACAAAACTTGTTTGTTATTTAATGAAACATGCATCAATATATATATATATATATATATATATATATATATATATATATATATATAATTTCACCATTCTTGGCAGACTTTCTGACATCAAAGACTGGAATACATACTTAGAAAAGTAATGGAAAGAAAAAGAAAATGATTCTAAATACATTTCAACTTAGGTAAAAAAAAAAAAAATTCTAAAATATAAAATAAATTAATATATATATATATATATATATATAATATATATATATATATATATATATATACCCTTGTTCAAATTACTTGAAACAACCAATTATTTAGTTTCGTTTCTTTCACCAAAAAGACACTTTTAGACACTCTGGAGTGACAAGGTGTAATAGATTTCTATTTATTTTCTTCAGATTAGGTCATTTGAAGTACTGTGCAATAATATGAATCAATTTTCGGGGTGTATGATAAAATTGGTTTGGCCTTGAAAAATATTGCGTCATCCGTGATGGCATCAGATTTTCATCATGCCCAGACACTATTGTCTCTACTGTCGATTAGTTGTCCTACGGCCATTGTCTGCGATTGACGTTACTGCAAGGAAGCGTACGAAAATTGTAAGGCTGCACGAACACACTGGCATGCCTTGCCAGTAATTAAATCTAAGTACTCTCTTGATTTAAATCCAATCGAGAATTTGTGGTCAATCTTCCAGGAACGATTTCGTGGAATGAACATACAAAGTACTAACATGTGCACTGTGTTATGTTTCATTAGAAAAATACAAAAAAAAGTAAGTAATAATATAATTATTCGTTTCGTTTCCATTAATTTGCATAAGGGTATCTATCTATCTATATATATATATATATATATATATATATATATATATATATTTTATAATTTTTTTAATTTGTAGTTCTGATGAATTGGATCGTGATTACGATTCCAATGTAATAAATTATAACCATGTAATATTCGTGTTTGAGACTTTTATATTATATCCTTAGTCTGTCCTGGACATTGAGTTCTACCTGGATTCTATCCTCTTGGAATTTTTACACACACACACACACACACACACACACACACACACACACACACACACACACACATATACATATATATATATATATATATATATATATATATTTCCACTAATAATTTCTATCTATCTATCTAACTGTATATATATATATATATATATATATATATATATATATATATATATATATAAAAATGATTTATATATAGTTTTTCTGATGCTTTGTTTCTCTGATATCGTGGGCCGCATTGGGATGCTTGTTTTGTTTGCTTTCATATACATGTATGCACTTCATGCACACATACACATATACATAGATATTAGAGATTTTGGGGTCTGTTGATTTTTAAATTAGCCAACTCCACATTTGTCCCTGTCCCTCTCTCCACCAACTTGTTTTTAGTAATCTGTTATTTCGTGTTTGATCATCAGTGAAATAACGTCTGGTCACGCTATTTGAGACACTGTTGCAAACGGCGTGACTAGCGCACTCTAAAATGCATTTGCTTCTCAGTGAATTCTGTTCTCCCCGAAACAGACTGGCATTTTTAAAAATCAAAACAGGGATCAGATGTGTTATGGTGAACAACAAGTTCGTTTTCATTGTTGTTATCAGTCGCTTGTCATCCATCACCATGGGCGGGGCAGACGATCAATGTTTTCTTCCGTGGTGTCACCCGCAGGGCGTCCAAACCTTGAGTCATAATTGAGACTCTATATTCTCTTCTTAAATCTAGCTGCCCACATTTGCACTATTGATTATATTTGAGCTTCATCTTAACCATGTTTGCCGTAGTCTTTGAATATAGAATCCAGTGAAGTACGTAATGTGTTCAATATCAGAGGCTGGCAGTGAAGATTCGGAGAAAGTTGCAGCTGTTAAGTAATTCTTTAAGTCTTCGATATCAGAGGTTGGCAGCGAAGATATTTTGGGAGAAAAAACAAAATGGCTGCCTTTACACGGGTCGGATTGAATATTTTGAGCTTTCTGATTGGTTAACCCTTCTCTTGGTGGATTATAAAATGAGTCAGCTCATTTTGGTTGGCTCACTAGTACATACATGTATCCAAAAAACTGTAACATTTCATTCCTTAATGTAGTAACCCTGTCATCATGAAGGTTCTTTGTGCCTAAACCATTTTTCTGAAAGTACTTGTTAAATCCACGATGGCAAATTTTGTCGGTTTTCAAGACAACTTTTGAAATAGTCTTTTACCAACTGTATGTTTACCTGGTAAGAAGCAAGAAGAATCAGAAATATTATTGGTCCTGAACTGGCGTCTCGGCTTCAGTCACTTTCCTACTGCTGTAAGGTTGGCACCCAGTGACATTTCTATAAATCCTTTCCCGGTAATTTTTCGGATAAGCCCTTTGCTATGGTACCTAGATAGCTTGAATTTAAACAAAGAACTAGACTGGCGTCAAGATCTCATCAATTTGTAGTTATTTTGACGAGATGGAACCGTAAATTCTATGCTAAGTTTCTTTTCTCACATTTCTCACTTGTAGAACTCCCTACCGTTTACATGATTTCCAGTCAAATTTAATCTTCAAAAATTTAGATGCAATGTCAATCGCTATCTACTCCTGATTACTCTTCTTTTGTTCTCACTTTTTAGTAATGTTTCTGTTTTCTAATTCTTCCACACCCAGTAAGCCCTTGTGTCTTACTGATCTTTTGCTTTCCAGTCAACTTTAATCTTCAAATATTTCAATGCAATGTCAATCACTATCTACTCTCCTCTTGATCACTCTTCTCACTCCTTAGTAATGTTTGTTTTCTAATTCTTCCACACCCAGTAAGCCCTTGTGTCTCAGTTGTTGTACAGACTTGGTAAAGGCGATCTCAATTTTTTTTTAAAAAGTTGTTATTAATAAGATAAGTTTTCAAAGCTGTTGTATCTCTCCATCATTGTCAGCCAATGAACTTATCTGCCCACACTCGTATCTGTTCCTCCAGTAACAGTGAAAACATTTCTCAATTAATAAATGTGTCTGGCCTTTAGGATTTTATGTAGGAAATTTTATATCTATACATATTTACAATAAGTGTTCATGATAACGGAGTTATGTAAATATCAACAGAGCCGCTATCCGTTACTTTCTGTTACAGAAGAAATCCCCTCTTCATACGCCATCTTTGTATCGGCGCTGCCAATATATATATATATATTTTTTTCTTCTATTTTTCCGTCTTTTTATTTCTCTCTTTTGTGAGTTAGATTCTTCGCCCACGTATCTAACACGATAAAAAAGAAACCAAGACAATTCTAGGGTCGTATCTACTTACAGGGCAATGCAGCAAAAGAAAACGAATGAACGAAAAGAGAAAGAAAAACAAAATGCCTTTTTTTTAAATGTTATAAAAGTTATACGCTTCCAAAACCGAATCGCTTTGACTAAATAGAACATGGCGTTGAAAGCGATGAAAAAAAAAAAGCGTAAATAAAATGATAAATCTATACAAGACAGGAGAGAGACGGAATAAAAGAGAATACGACCATTAGCGATACTTAAGAGTTCTAAAACATATCGCAATTTTGGTATTCTTTCATGCGTCATGTATTTCGCAAGAGTAAGAGGTCGTGGCTCTCTACAGCATCCTTTCTTTATTGCTCTAACTTTTGCCCATCTAGTATCAATCTTTCTTCTTGCTCTTCTATCTGTTCACAGAAACATGTCAAGTAGTTTACTCACTGTCTTCCCCAGGTTTCTTACGTTTGATATATATTGTGTGTTTTATATTCTCTTAGCCATCTTTTCTCAATATGTTCTAGAAAGTCATAGAAAATATTCGTCCTCCGACAGGAATCGAACCTGTATCGTAATTTTATAATGTGTGACATCATGTGTTTACATTTGAATGCGCATCGTGCACATATGAATGTACGTGAGAAAATCATAGAAAATTGTAGTTTAAAAACAGTAAAATTGACCTTGCTAACCGTAACGTTCCTCTGTGGCTCAATCGGTAAAAGCACGTCAGGCTATATGACGGTTCCGTATAGGATACAGGCTCCATTCCTGTCGGAGGACTTATATTTCTATGACAATTCCTCGGACATTCAGGTCGTTAAATGTTATGAATACTGTTTATTATAAACAGAGCATTTACTTAAATATTTGCATCTGTAAAAAATGTCTTAAAATAATTGTCGGACATTGTACATTTCATAATATATATATATATATATATATATATATATATATATATATATATATATATATATATATATATAAGAAGAAAGAAGAAGAAGAATTATAGTTTTAAGTTGGGGTATATTTATGGGATAAAGTGCTCAATATTAGATGTAGAGCGTACGCGTGACAAATGTGTCTAGCATGAAACAGCCTGTCGCCTCTGAGTGTTGACTTCAATATTCATTTATATATATATATATATATATATATATATATATATATATATATATATATATCCAGAAAAAATGAAACCAAATGGAATATGATTCCACTGTACGTAACATTTAATTTAAAAGAGGCCCAGTACATAGTTGAGTTAAATATTATTTACTTTAGGATATTAAAACATGTTACAAAAAAAAAAAAAAAATCGCTACACAATTTCTATTTTGTTTCAACGCCATAAATGTGTCTCTGCAGACGATGTTAAACTACTAGCGAATGAAAGATTAATTTAATTTCGAAAAGCGGAATACTTTTAAAAATAGATTTGTAGGCTTTGCTGTGATTAAACAATTGAATATGACCTCCGCTAAATTCAAATTTACTAGAAAATATATAAACTATAGGTTTATATATGTGGAATCAGGTTGAGATCATAGACAAAGAACACCATTGGAAAATTCCGGAAGCGGAAGACGTTATTATTATTATTATTATTATTATTATAATTATTAATAATAATAATAATAATAATAATAATAGAAAGTTCGTCTCTGAAATTCAGAAGGAAAGAAAGCAAGATGTTACAACAGAAGAAAGGTTTGGGATTTAAAAATCAAAGACATCTAATCTGTTCTGAGAAAATAAAAAAGTCTATAACAATAAGGATACCTCATGCCAGAAATTTAAGGAATCAGCACACATGCTAGGCCACAAAAATCTGCTGAGTCGACCAAGCATTGAAATGAATACACTATGGGAACCAGTAATAAGGAGTGCCAGAGAAAAGCAATATATAACAACAAAAATTGAAATAAGAGCACTGGTAAAAAAAAAATGGTTGCTGAAGACATTAGGTTTATAATACACAGAAATTCATTCACAGATGTCCTCAAGAGCACATGGCACAGTGGATAAAGGCGTTAGTTAGACAGGACCCAAAGAGTGTGAGTTCAATACCCGGTTAAGGCAGTGGAGAACTTTCAGAGGGAAATTAACAGGAGATAACTGGCATCAATTAAAAATCATGGCACGTTTATCAGTCTACCCCAGTGAACGAAATAAGGGGTTCAGTTCGACATTCCAAACACCTGAAGAAGGCCGGTGCGTACAACGGTCGAAACGTTGTAACAAATATGGCGACAAAGATGACAATAGTCCCAATAATGTAAATGCGGTTTATATATATATATATAAAAAAATATTGTTGTCTGATTTCCAAACTTAATGGTTTTGCTTAGTTTCTATCTAGTTTACGCGATATATTTCATATATATATATATGTGTGTGTTATTGATAATGGTTTGTCGAATTTCTTCTTATGTTTTTCTGTTATGTTGTTTGGTGATATGTGATTTAATTGAGCTATTATCACATAAATGGCACATTAAAATGTGCGGCTACAATAATAAAATTATAATTTCATTAAAATATACAGTGCGACGATATTTAATGATAACCTCATTTAACGACCAAGTTTGGTAGTCACGTGAATTCTCCTAGATTTATATACTTTCGTATATCATAATACAAAACAGAAAAAAACCAACGCTACTATAGTTTACTATACAATGACACTGAATCCTACTACAATACATGCACAATTCGATTCTCCAGACGTATTTATTTTTACTTACATTTTTTTTCGCTTTCTTTGCTGTAAGTTGCCACCAACTCCATCGATGCCAACGCCAATCCTCTTCGACGATTCGAAAGGTTTATCGATTTCTGTCTCTCTTGTCTCGTGGAACGTCATTAATCTGCTCGTTCAGTGGGTCTGCATGTGATGGGGTTCTGATGGCGGAGGAGGTGATGGAATGTGGTGGGGTGTTTTGAGAAATGGCGGCAACTAATACATTTGAAATTAAACTCATCAGAAACGCCCAAAGTCTGTTTTCCCTGTCGCACGTTTATTGTCGCGTTGTGGCACAGATGCTAATGTGAAATAAAACCTTGGAATGAGAAAACATTCAGAAGAGGCGCGAATAAATCTAACCTCAGAAGTTCCCTTGTCTTTTTGAGTGTACCCACTATACATGCTCTTTTACCAAACACGGCTTTATCCTGTCAAAATCTTCGGCACATTTTATTGTTATCTTGTGATGCATTATCGCTTTTTGGTTCTTTCTCATGACGTTTCGATCGATGCCTTCTTCAGTGTTTTTATATCTGAATTTCTGGCATGAGGTATCCTTACTATTATAGACTTTTTTTTATTTTCTCAAAACAGATTAGATGTCTTTGAATTTTAAATCCTAAACCTTTCTTCTGTTGTAACATCTTGCTTTCTTTGTGTCTGAATTTCAGAGACGAATTGTTTATTATTATTATTATTATTATTAATAATAATAACAATAATAATCATTATTATTATTATTAATAATAATAATAATAATTTTATTTTATTATTAGTATTATTATTATTATTATTAATCATTATTATTATTATTAATAATAATAATTATTATTATTATTAATAATAATAATAATAATTTTATTATTAATAAATAATTAATAATAATAATAATAATAATAATAAATAATAATAATAATAATAATTATTATAAGATTATATTGAACTAATGTGTAGGATGCTGCAAGGAAAGTTGCTTCACTGTGTTGAGCTACACAATCTTTCTCACCAGAATCTACCTTACATATTTATAAATCTATCATTCGTCCTTGCATTAAACATACTGTCACATTTGGTCTCGTGGTTCTGATTCGTATTCAGAGATTCTTGACAAAATCCAAAAAAAGATTCTGCAATATTATTAGTCCTGACCTGACATCTCTGTTTCAGTCACTTACCCACGGCCGTAACGTAATTCACTTGTGTATTTTCTATAAATATTTTTATGGTAATTGTTTGGATGAACTTTCCTTTTTAGTACCTAGATTTTATGAATATAAATACAGTTCTTGATTGACAGCAAGGTCTCAGCATTTTACAGTTAAAATGGCTAGATGTAAACGCACGTTCTATGATAAGAGTTTCTTCAATCGCACTTCTCGCTTGTGGAACTCTCTTTTTGCTTCGTGCTTTCCAGTTAACTTTGATCTTCAAAAATTTAAATGCAATGTCAATCGTTACCTTTTATCTTAATTATTATTCTTTTATTATCCTCTCTCCTTAATAGGAGTTTTTTTTTCATATTCTCTAACGAACAGTAACCCCCTTGCATCCTAGTGGCTTTATTGCCTTTGATCATCAAAAATGTAAATGCAATGTCAATTGTTATCTTTTGTTTTCATTGTTCTTTTGTTCTCTCTGCTCCGTAGAATTTTCGCATATTCTTTAACACTCAGTAATCCCTTGCGTCTTAGGGGCTTTATTGCCTTACTTGATGTTAAATGTCTAAAGAAAATGATTTCTTTTTTCGTTCAGCTAGTTCCATTTTCATTGTTTTCTTTATCACGGTCTTTCATTCTCGGGCTTTTGTTAAGCAACTGTTGTGCTGGCCATATATATTGTTATATTGTTCCAAGAACCCTGTATCATACAGAACTGAGAACCTCAGTGTTTAAAAAACTTTCATATCTTGAGCTCAATATCTGATATCGCTGAATTATACAAGAGTTCAGGGAAAATGCAGTTCGACATCACAATGTAAAAATGTCTGAGGATTTATCTATTTTTCGAGGAAGGGCACGAGGCATGAACGTTACAGAAACGAAAATAATATACACCCGGGAACAAATAAATGGTAAAGTTTATGCTAAGATGTTGACAAATGATACGGACTTTTTAAGGGAGGCCGGACACTCCATTAAAAGGCTTCCTTGTTGTAGGGTAATGATTAGCTAACTTGTTTCAGATTATCAAGAATTTCACAAAGAACTCAGTGTTTTTTTTTTTACTTATCCTTTATTCAGCCTCGAGATCACATAATTCAAAATCCCGCATCGCTGTTTTGAACGCCATATTTTCTATGGATGTATCGTGTGCGCTTGGCTAGCGTTACATACGATTTTGAATACTGAATTGTCCTTCTAGCGATGGCTAAAGAGCGCAGTATGCTCTTCTATTAGTCTAGGTATCTTCACTAACTTGCCGAAAAAATAAGCATACCTTGATGAAAGAATGAACCAAACTTAATGAAAACAAAGTTTTATCGTCAAAATGTTTATGCTATTATTA